ACCTTACTTGGAACTTACCACCGAGCAAAGCTTATCCTTGGTTACTTTCGTTTTGTCTCACTAGTGGAGTAGGATGGTTCGACCGTCGGTTTCGACGATTTCCACCGTATGCTCCACTGCAAGGCAGAGCAGGGACAGTGACTTGCGCGTGATTTAGTTTATAGTGAATGTAAACTTGAGTAGCATCCACCGCACTCGCTCCTCCTCCCCCACCTGGACCCTGTGTCAAGACAGAGTCAAGAAGACCGGAGACAGGGGAGGGTGCAGGCGAGTGGCACGGTCGAACTCGCACCTTGGAGCTCCACTCTACTGGAGCATAATGGTTGATAGAAGACACTAATGAAGACGATGTGAAAGTGCCCTTCATAATAACCCCGTTTTCATTAAAATCATCACTGCTCTCCTCTGAAACCTAATAGTCACTTGGAGCGAGCAAATTAGAATCACAGGATAGGGTAGAAGGTCATTGGAGAACCGGAGGCATAATTTTACTCGTTAGAGTTTTCGAGTTCGCCCAACAATCCACTGAGTCTACTTTGGTTTCTGGAACATATGTGCAGCCCTTCAGCGGTCGCGTGATCCAGGTTTTCATGGAATCGCAGTCAAATATTTAGATTCAATGATAAATACGTATCTCCAAGCATCTTATGCGAAATAAACCTCTCCCCACTGTGAAACAGTTCGCAATTCCTGCATATAATCACATGCTGTATCTCTCCTCAGTCAGGGTCACTCGGCTCAATTTGGGGATTTCCGGACTAGGAGTACACTGAAAAATACGTAAAAGATTTCGTGAATCCGAGCAAAAAGTAGAGGATACACGATTTAGCAAAGAATGCTACTTTACGAGCACTTTAACAATTCTTTTTGAGGAATCGATGTTGCACCGGTTTCCTTTAATTTCCCCAAACAGAAAATTCAATTTACGCAGAATTTTGCTGATTACAGTAGAGCTCTCCATTGCGTGGACGAGTCGTTCCTTCTATTGGAGCCTTCTGTTAGAATACTTAACAGGCGACGTCAAATTATAGCTGCATATAAGGCCTCTCGCACACGGCATGTAATGGCCTCCTTGGATTTTTCACTTCCTCAATTTCAAGGAGTGGTATTTTCCGTGATAGCCTTCCCAACCATCTTTTGTTCTATTTTTTGTCAACCATGGGTCTTGGTTCTATTTGGACAGGACATTTTTGAATACGACGTTTAATTTAAATTTACTCAAGGCCGTGGAAACTTGCATCAGAAACTTTTGCCGACTGGTGTAGCACATGGCCTCTCGCACTCTTCCGGACTAAGCCGTCAGTAATGATTTCTTGATGCTAACTCACTCTAAACTCTCATCAGTGGTCGTGGCATCTCTAGACACATCCCATCCAAACCATCTCAGTTTTTGTGAATATACTACTAATGAAATTTTTAAACTGGGGCTATTAGAACTGATCGGTTTAATTTACACGTTAGATTTGGGCTTGATTATTACCCTTTGCTATTGGGCATCCGGCGCGCGGCTAAACATAAAAGAATCACATCTTACCACAAGATGGCTTTTACCTCCGAAAATCAAGACGCGTTTTATAGAAAGTTTTGCCGAAGCATAGGCCCTAAACCTTTTTTGGTTTAATCTATCAGTATCTGATTATTTCTTCTACCTGTTTTTTAGAGAGCGACGCTCTACCTCGCTGTTGCTCTTGAAATGTCGTGGTCATATTCGATTTGAAATTCATCGAAATGTATGCTTAAAGCTGGCAGGAAAATTTGGGTGTATACATAATTCGAAGATCAAGACAGGTCAATCTTGTCCCTGCTTGCACCCGTCCCTTGAAGAGCTGGCTTTCGCCTCCTGAGCATCTGATGACTCTCACGCACTTTTTAAACGGTGTAAAACTTCTTTTTTAGCTCAAGTATTACGACCAGTGCTTGAATTTCGGTCGCTCGCCGTCACTACTTTCCCGCACCACTTGCCATGAAATAGAACAACTACTATTTTGGTTACTCTATTCAACCTGCATTAATTTAGATGAACCTGTTCTGGTGCCCACATGTTCACTTAAATGCGGGATCACAGGGCAGACAGGGGAGGTGAATGTGTACTTCCAGCTGTCAGTAATGATCACTGACACCCTTCATTCCCTTCCGCGCGACGACCGTAGTGCGTTCAACCGGCCGACTCCTCTAGCCTACTTTCAGGTCGGCCGTCGTGAGTTACGTCACTTATCGATGCTGAGCCCCGAGCACTGTACCTGTGACTTGCACGTGAACTATTTTATAGGAAGGCTGACTAGCAAAGTACCCACCGTACTCTTTCTCCCCTCATCCAATTTGTGCCGATGACAAGAAAGTGTCAAGACGACCGGAGGTGTGCTCGGGTACAGTGACTGAAAAAGCTAAACGGTCCGTATATGTCTGTCGCACATGACCTCCTCCCTGCAGAATGTACCAGATATTCACAGAGGGCGTCTCAAATCTCACGTGCGTAAGAGTGACAAGGAGCCACTGGGCCTGACTCTCAGTCCGCCGTTAAATCACTCTACATACACACGAAGTAATGCCCACGCAGACCTAGCTATAGCGTCCGTTGGCAACCTTACAAGCCACGAATTTAATGCGCACTGCTGTGCGCGAGTAAGGGTGGGCTGTCTTGTTATTCCCCTTTTCCATGCAACCAGACTGCTCAAGAGGTGCTTGAATAGACTTATTCAATTCTGTCAGTTGATCAACCACCATTGCTTCAGTAGGTGAGACTTGGATTTAACTCCTGTATACATTCAACGTGAGTGGACCGTCCAGACAGCCGTAACACGAAGTTGTATTTCGCGGCTTAAGACAACCAGAACTTCCTGCTTTCAGTGAATAATAAGACCTCGTCTCAGGCAACAGCACACGCTGTTAACTGTGTGCCTCGGTCTGCTGCATTCGGATCCACACAGCTGCACGACTCAGGCGATGGCTATGGCCGTAGTCATGGTGGTGGTGGCGTTGTTAGTGCCGTCATTTTCTTCAATACAAGGTCGGGCACAGGTTTCGTTGTCCTCACCCCTTCCACCAAGGAGGTGGGTCAGGGCCCCAGGTTGGGAGGTCACGTGTTTCCTGCCCCTCGCGTCTCCACAAACAGCTCGCTCCGATTGTGTTGTCGCACCGTCGGAACAGCAATCGGCCCCCGGGGGAGACAGAACAGGACAGCTGACAACTTCGATCGCCTCCCGGGACAGGCAGATGGGTGGGCTTAATGATGCAAAAGATAGGATAGATGATAAGCTCAGTGTGAGGGCGCAGCTAGTTATAATTCCATCAAGTATACTGCAAACAACGCACATGCGGTCGGTCCGACCAACTGAATAGTGGCGCCTACGTGCGGCGAGGGGGGCCATCACCGTCGTCCGTGAAAAACGGGTCAGAGAGAGAGAGGGGGGAGAAATATCGGGAGAAGTGATCGAATTGGGCAGGTGTACAGGCCTTTGCAGGGGTGGTCAGCTGGAAGAACCGATCTGTGCTTTTCCTGCCGGCCCGTTACCCATTACGTTACTGTGATCTTCAGCTAGGCCTCGTGCGAGATTGCAAACCCACCACTTTGGCTCCCTCGGGGGAAGGGGTGGAGGGGGTGGGACGCATGCGTGTTTATAAGAATTTTCCCTCGTTTTTGTTAAGCAGGGCGAAATGTCATCCTCCAGTTGAATAAGTAGGGTTGACACCAAAAGATGGCGGTGAAGTTGCATTATACACCTACTACTACTACTACTACTACTACTACTACTACTACTACTACTACTACTACTACTACTACTACTACTACTACTACTACTACTACTACTACTACTACTACTACTACTACTACTACTACTACTACTACTACTACTACTACTACTACTACTACTACTACTGCTACTACTACTACTACTACTACTACTACTACTACTACTACTACTACTACTACTACTACTACTACTACTACTAATAATAATAGTAATAATAATAACAATAATAGTAATGGCATAACTAACACTTGAAGCAATACTGTCAATACAGCGGAGGTCGGCTGAAGTTTCACTTACCATAAACTCAATAAATGTACTGGCCAAAAGGTCAAATACTTCTTTCGAAGAGGCCCGACAACAGATTAAATAGGCATACTGTCATTCGTCAATGTAGTCTGACCCATGAAATTCATCACACACTTTCTGTCGTACGGATCACGACCCACCAGGAAATCTACCTCTGGAAGGATTTTAACGAGAGTTACCTCATTAGAAATAAAGCAACCGAAAGGCGGTGACTCTGAACAGACGGCTATATGTAAAACAGTATGCCACCTCGTCATGTTAGAGACTTTACAGTGAAACTTGAAACAACATTTCCCCGGAATGAATTTAAAGCAAGCAAGGACAGCAGAATTTAATGGCATCAGAAAATTTCGCGACGACCACTGGGCATGCTTTCAGAAAAAGCCGTGACAGGCACACACAGTTTTTTGCATGAATAAGGCAGAATCGCGCAGTTTGGCGCGTGGGAACTTGAAGCATCTCCTGTCTGGTCTACTCTAGTCTCCATGCAAAGGCATAAAGTAATTTTGTCAGGGTTGAACCAAAAGAGGCAGGGAGGCTGAGATGTCCACTTCCAGAGGAAAAATGACGCGTAAAAAGGAAAAATATGCGCCTGCTAAACAAACGAAAATAACGCAACTTACGCATTATGATGTAACTCACAAATGTTCGCATTACTTCAGACAAGAAGTAAAACCTCGAAAGTGTTCTACTGAAGACAACGCATGACCTTCAGTCACTCCAAACTGCCAATTTAAAAATTTCCTGCACTCGAATGTACATCATAAGCTAACCTACTCCATAAATTGTGCATGTCGCCAGGATTTCTTCCTGGTTCACACTCCGCGTGCTGGTGATCTAGATTTGCCTCCCCACCCTTAACATGGTTCCTTATCAAAAGGTAGTGTTCGATTTCTATTGGCCAAAATGTTGGTAACAATCGGGAGATGGCACCCAAAAAAATCCGTCCAACCAAAGCAGCCTGTCTTACGGGACAGATGGTAATAGGGGTTTTATACGTGGTGACTGGTCGTGATGTAAAATACTAGCCGACGGAAAGGCTTATTTGAACAGATGAATGATCGAAGTTGGCCCGCTCTCCGTTCCGTTATTACAAAATGAGTCGTCAAAGGCAGTATAGTGGTAACGGACGAGTGGAAGGCGTATAATCGTCTTCCCTTAGAAGGTTATCTACATTTCTCTGTTAACCACTCAAAGAACTTCAAGAACCCTGCCACCTGACGGCACACCAATGCCACTGAGGCATACTGGAGTAGACTGAAAAGTAAACTCCACGAGGGAGGCCCTGTATGTCGTCGAGCTGTGTGGGCTCACATAGACGAAGTACAGTATCGTCTTTGGTTTGGCCTCAAGGCCGTGTCTTTGACAGATGCCTGGGAACTGTTCTTGCCCATGTTGTGCAGACTTAACCTATTTAAAAGTGATTTTCTTTTGTAATAAACTGCCATAATGCGAATGTATGCCGTATATTCAGGTGTACATGTGTAACGTTGGGGAAGGTTGGGTGACAGCGACCATCATTCATGGAACCTCCTGCGATGTTTGTTCGGCCAGCCCATGTTAGGCCGTCAGGGAAAGTCCAAGTAGTGCGTGAAAGTAGGCCTGCAATCGCTGACATAGCCTGAAGGCGTTTGAGTCCAATGTTAAAGGTATTATTTCTAGGTAACGGAATTTTTTTGGGTGCCATCTCCCGATTGTTATCAAAATGTTTTTTTAAGAAAGCTACACTTTCTTATTGAAAAATGTCTACATTGTCAAAGGCATTGGCCTCAAGTGTATTGCCATTAACAATGGAAAAGTGAAACTCACGCACACACGGAACACAGAAGCTGAAGGGCGGAGCCAAGCCGCCGACCTTCGAATTTCGCATTGTGCCCCGTTTTACGCTTAAATGCCAACAGACTGAGTAGCGACGCAAAAATATCTGCAGCCAGTAGGCAAGTTTCAGGGGGTAGAGCACCCAACGTGAATTAGGTAGTCACCATTTGAATGCCACCCTGGGGGTGCCTTCTTCAAGGCTATGTGTGTTTCATTGGTCCGTAGTCTGCTGCAGTAAAATGTGCTGTTGGTGAAACCACACGTTCTTTGGTCTTTCAGCCCCTACCTGGCGAATATTCGACATTAAACTGCCATTAAACTGGGTGGTAATTAATTAAACAGCTCTAATCCAATGTTAGTAGATTGCTCCAAGTTTGGACTTCAGGTCATTATGTTCACCGGATTGTATAGCTAAATTTCTCGGTAATCCATCAACAGAACAAAAGAACTATCTACGGGACGGCAGTTTTGACCGCCATGTAGTCAGTAAAGAGAGGGGGCGTACAGGACAGAATTGAGTTAATTATTTTACTGCCGTCGGTCCATGGTAAGTTCATCAATGCGTCAGTACACAATGATGCTGAGTAACATGTTAGAACTCCAAAAATAAGCAGTGAGTTGTTGGACTTTTCTAATCATGTCAAACCTAGGATCCGGCAACAGTACGTATGCTCTTTGTCGTGTAACCAATTACAGTAAGTGTGGTAACTCATGAAGTGTTCGCCGAAATGCTGAAATGCATTTCTGTTTCAAAAAGACTGCCTAATTAGGGTTCTAAAATTAACCCCCATGCAATAAAAGTATATAATAATTCAGTTACCGCAAGATGCCGGCTTTCAAAAAAAACCTCTTTCCGACCGAAGCAGAAACCACACTGTAAAAATGACAAGTAGCATGAACTTTTCTCGCTGATTTTCGTTGTCCTTAAGAAATTAATTATATTTCACGGAAAGCATGCACTAAAGGTTCGGTTTTTATTCATTAGGTAGAAAATTACGTCTGCTTTCAATTTTATATTCGAAGGAAGGGTATAGATTGGTTTTTAAAACAGTTTCTAATTATGGGACTTTCTAAAACCGTGAAATGTCCGTTCATATAACTTGGTGACTCTGCATTTACTAATGTTGCTTTTAAAGTTAACAATATAGCTTAAATCCACTGCCAAATTTTGTGAACCCCATGCGATCTACTCTTAATAGCGTAGAGAAATATATAGTTTTTCGTACGCGGAAAATATACGGCTTGTAGTTTGGAAACCCTGAATACAAGTGTAACGGCAGATCGGGCTCAAAATTATTCGGGAATTGGAAAAGCTTTAAAAAACCGAATTATGCCCTTTCTTTGAGTATTAAATTGAAAGAGGACGTAATTTTCCACCGAATTAGTGAAAGAATGTTTACCATAAAACATAATTGATTTTTAAGGGCATCTAAAATCAGCGAAGAAAAATTCATGCTACTTAACTTGTCATTTTTACAGAGTGTGGTTTCAACATGCGGCCGGAAAGAAGTTTTTTGAAAGCCGGCATCTCGCGGTAACTGAATTATTATATACTTTTGTTGCATGGAGGTGAATTTTAAAACCCTACTTAAGCAATCTTTTCGAAACAAATATGCATTTCAGAATTTCGGTTAACACTTCATGAGTTACCACACCTACTGTACTTTTGGCGGTACTGCATCCAAGAAGAGTCGTTGGAAATTGGAAATATCACACGTTTCAAACAGAAACTGGCGCGACACAGAATGGATGTAAAATCAGTCATAGCCCTTAATGGCAGTTTCGAATTTTATTTTTGCCCATTTGGGAAGACTAAACTTTTCTTAGAAAGAGTCATCAGCAGTTGAAACAGGCTGTCCCCACCATTGGGTATGAAGATTTGGAGCTGGTTGGCTAGCCTTGCCTTGCAATTATTAGCTTTATATAAGTAAAAACAGCGTGAACTGTTCGGCCGCAGGATTACAACGACATTAAGCAGAAATCTGTATGAATGGGGGCGACATTAGGGCCTAGCATGGACAAGCAGCTGTCGGTCGAGAGGACAAATGCACGAAAATTAATTCTGCACGCACGTTTTACCCTCCATTAGTCATAGTTCATCAATGACGGTCTTGTCTACTTCCCAGGTGTATGTCACAGAGGGTTTCATCTAGTTGCTTCCGTAAATGAGGAATTCCATAAACTGTTCCTTCATGTTACTGGAAACTATGTATATTTCTTTTAACATTCTGGCGAAAAAAGGCATTTTCAATACTCCTATTATACCCATGTCTGCTGTTTGTCATTTATCACTTGCCTTTCTCCCCCATCAGCGCCCCTGCGTAGGACAGCTAAATCAACCCCGATTCGTATTCCGTCAGAAGAAGAAGTACCTCCGCTCAAATGCCTGTCGGTTGCATCTGGTCACAAGTCTTTCCAATATCTAGCTTGATAGCAACGGAAGTTATTGGGCGTCTAGACAGGTAGACACAATGGCAGATTGTTTATCATGCTTCACAGACCTGTGCCAATTAATTCCCATCCTACGCGTCGTAATAGCCTCTCGTCAAGTGGCGAAACAGACCTCTCAGGTTCAGAATGCTTCAGGGTGGAAGAGGGTTAGGAACTGCGATGTATTGCGAGTCGGTGCGCTTGGGATTGGATCTGAGTAATTCAGGGACACAAAATGCAGGGAAAATACACCCAGCCTCTCCCTTCCCTTCCTTCCCCTTCACAGGGGATCATCATGCAACAAAATTTCTAATTTGTTGTGATTGCTGTATAGTCTCTGTAATGGGTCCCTGTAAGAAACCGAAAGCCCAGACTAAAATAGCTGCCGTTCAGGTGATCGAAAATCATTTCTTGAAACAAGAGCCATGGACCCGTGCATCCCCTTCGTTCAGGGCAAAGTACTCTGGTAACATTATTTTCCAAACTCGGACTACTTTTTGCGCACGACTGTTGCCTACGACTCGCATCAGAGCTTCTGTTTACTAACTATAGGTTATTTCAGACGACGTTTCAATGGCAGACGTTTCCTTTTTTAGAACGAACCCTGCGAGTATATTTTATCGTGAATTGCGTGGCTGTTGCTAAA